TTTTTATGCTGTTATTGTTGAGGTCGCTAGGGCCGTTTTGTCTAGTCACGCTGTTTCACTTTTCAGCGTCTGTTGCGACAAGCGTATTAAAATCGCCCATTAGTGTGAGGGATTCCGTATTGGGCACTTCGTACATAGGACACTGCACGTCTTCAAGAAAGGACTTATATTCTCCCTCTAAAATGGGCGCATAGACCTGTACCGAGGTCAGTGTTATACCCTGTTGTAGCTTCAGTGAGAGGATTACCACCCTTCCATTGACAGGCTTCCAATCAGTGATTCTGTCTGCCAGGTTGGGTTCTGCCAGAACACCAACACCGGCCTTTGTGGGCGTTGTGATATCGACACCTGAATAGAATAGCTTCCACGCGCAGAGGTTCTAGATTTTAGAACATTTGCGCTTCGTTGACTAGAGTCCAACAGTATGGAGTTGGTGCTTTATTGCCTCATCGACTAACTCTTGTTTTTTCTCTTCGAGTGAAGATATTTTCCAATTTCCGATTGTAGGCTCCCACTAGCGGTGTCGTTCTCGTGGAGCCTTTTCTGTGTGCGGTAATGGCATCGCGTTGTCTGCTTCCGATCAGAAGGGGTTGCGACCCCGTTGCTGACTGATGCCTTTTTCGTCGTTCCGTTGGTCTTCGTTAGCCCTTGTTATGCTGCTAGTCCCCTGGCTTTCAGTCGGCGATGAACAATTCTGATCGTTGATTTTTCGCAGTCTGCCTCAGTCCCCTAAGAGCCTGCATGGCCCTAGGTAATACGGGCGACGACCGAGCCGGTATAATTTTCGATGTCGTCAATACGATGAAGGGCAGGTGGCGAAATTTTGTATAGACTTCACCAAGGTCTCCAACCCTTCTCCTTTCTCACTCTGACTTGGGACCGGTTACAGTGGAGTTTGCAAATTAACGTCTGTGAAAATCTGCTTTGCAAGCTTTGTCAGCTTTTGTTCACGTAATGCACATCCTTGTTTATTTTTCCACGTTCATAGGAGTTTCATGGGCAGCTATTCGTTGCGAGTTGGCAGGGGAGAGGCAGGTTCTCGATTTTCTATTCACCTCGGTCCTCCGAGAGATGAGCAATACCTATGGAGTAGATTAGAATTCTCAAAAACGTCAGATTATCATCGGTCATGTATGTAAGATTTTGAAGAGTGTTCAAGCCCGTTTTGAAGTTTTAGGAGTTTCTTCGTTTGTTTTTGTTTGCTCCTTTGGCCGTAGTCGGCTTTTTCGAATCGCTCGGATTGTGCTGGAGTTTGGGCTAATATTTATTGTGCATAGAATAGACTGGCAAAACTCAGGGAGACAGCAGTTATCCCAAACCGTTATTGCTACGGTGCATTCCGGAACTCAAATAAAACCTGCGACATTCATGACATTCAGAATGAATATCATACCGATTTAGTTAATCAACATATTGGGTCAGGTTTCATTTTTTCTGCGAGAAAATGTTTGAGCCAGTTAATGGCTATAGCCATTTTGGTTTACATGAGACTACTTCCCGTATCAAAATTCACTACGGAAGTATCACCAAGATCTACTTAAACTGGATTTAGAAGATCACGAAAGTATTCTCTCCATCTGTCTAGCCTGTGTTCTTTAATGGTTAGACGATTTCCATTCGAAATTTTCACAGCTGAAGCCCGATCTCCCTCCCTGAGGCAATGGATTGTCAGAGTAGGCTGATTTTTGGCTTATTAAGTAAGAAAGATACAGCAAACTTTTGAAAAGGAAAGTGAAAATGATTGTTCTTAATTTTGTGACGGAATTGCAAAGAGTACAACGGTTGTATATTTCTTCTTAATGCGTTAGATGTTCCGAAGTAATTCGAAGTTTTATCTAAGCATCTTCTTTTCGTCTCCGCCTATTACCGTGCATATACATATGTGACCATCGGCAAAGTTGTTGCTATTCATTTCAGCCTGTTGTGGCTCTGAAATGGAGTTTTTTGATCAAGACTTGATTTGAGCATTGGCGAGCATCACACATTTTTTACATGCTGTAAAGCAGTTTTTGTAGACTTTAAGAATAGGTTTTCTCATTTACAGCGTCATATTCGTCAGGCAGTTAGTCCTACATGATGTCAGCGTGGCGCAATAGGTAGAGTGCGTGACACGCAGTCGAACGATCGCTTAGTCGAGGCGCATCTCATCCATCCTTCCGAGGAATAAATGATTACCACTACGTTTAAAGGTCGTACGAAGAGACTACAGGCCCTAGTCACCGCATAACTGCCGTAAGAATTAAGGTACTCCTAGCATACCATTACATAATGGGGATCGGCAGCAGAGAAGAGCGCCACAGTTGGCCGTTATTGTGAAGGTGTTAGTTTCTTTATTTGATTAAGTATATTACACGGCATTGCCTTGACGATTTTACAATGGTCGTTGAGAAACACGTTGGCAGTGAAGTTTTACCATTTGCGTTGTTTGGTGCCCTCAACCGTGAATCGGCAAATCATCTGCAATTTTGCTATGAGTCCAGAATCGAATATGTTAAGTCATATTTACGGACTACATTTATTTTGAGTTTTAATATTGGTTGCTCTTTTTCCAGTTCGCAGTGCAAGCCTTTACTGTTAGACACAAGTCACGCAGTGGCTGCCTTTTATTTTAAGTAATAATCTGTGACTATAATATCTCTGAAGAATCTTTTCCGTTCAAAACCTCGACAGTGAGGCTTCCCATCAAATTCAAACAGGGACTGCTATCTGTCTACTGCACAATCGTAAATGTCATCTTTTAACCAGGTAGGGAACACTGAAAATGGTTTTTCCGATATTCTGTTGAAAAACAAGTAATCAGGAGTGATACACATGCACAGCATAAGTAAAATAACAGAGAATTCCGCCTCCATGGCAGTCTCGTTTCTTGTGGTTTTCCACTCGCCATTTTTGGCTTATCCCGACTTCTCTAGTAATGGTAACTAACTGTCACTACTAATTATAAATGAATTGGTTTGCATCCATGTTCTTACTGAACTGCGCATTGATTACGATATAATTTCGACATTATTACAATAACGTTTGCTTAGGTTCAAAACAACGTTTTTTTGCAAATGGAAAATAGCGTTAGCGCAGCAGATGCTACGCCATGCGACGATGACGGGAATTCGCCAAACATTAAAACAGGTAAAAGTTCTACGCTTGTCTTCACCACTTTTGTTTTTGGTTTTTATTCGACCCAAAGTTTTGTGCTGCTTCGCTCTCAGTTAAAAAATATGCTTTTGGTCCAGCACTGACATCTGAGTTTAACAGAGGTAAAATCCGGATTAAAAGAAGACGTGGAATTGCAATCGCATTTGCAGTTTTCTATGACTTCCGGTTTCTTTGTTTTTGTAGACGCTTTTCGAAGCAGCAGAGAAGATCCTTTCACTTTTCACGACAACGGCACTCATGAAAGGTGATGAAATATCAGGAATTTTCGACAGGAGCGAAACAAGTCAGTTTCCAGCATCCAGTAATGCCTCAAAAACCAACTACTGCATAGCTCGGTGAACGGACTAACTAGGATTATATTTCATAAAATATTTGTGATCCGGCATTTTGTCTGATACCATGCGTTTAACGACAAAAAATCGCTTTATGAAAATCTTACATATGCCGGGTGTTGTCGTTGATGTAAAATACTGAAATCGATATTTTATGAAGGAATGAAACTGTCTTTCATGTCTTTCCTCCGTTTGGACTGTTTGTCTCCCAGAATAATCAAATGGTCCGCGAATACGATAAGATTATGCTTGATCCGTATCAATTGCTCCACCATTACTTCCATTTGCACGAAGTATCTCTGCAAACTTAAGAAAATTGTTTCGGACGCATGATTCTTCACTGTTCGCCTTCAGAAGGACAGCAACCACGATTGAACTGATACTTGACCAAACAGGTGTTCGAAACAAATGCATTGAAGATCCCAATAAAGAAGTCATAGGCTTCTATTTTAACAGGGCAGGTAGTGAACTGCGCCCAGCTGTGTCAGAATCGTGGATGGAAGGTGCGAATGTCTTCTTCGTAAGTTGTTGATGTGATCAGGTGCAAGCTGGAATGATAACTTCATTGATCACTGTTGTGATCCAGTTTGCTATGGCAGAGGCAGTGGAATAGCCATCATGCTCATAACACTCAGATTTTGACCTCTGTCACGTCATATAAAGGAAGAATAATAGGATAACTCTATGCGGCTGATCACTTCCAAAATCTATCTGCGAAGTGTATAGTTAGTTTTTAGTTTTCATTTTATCGTTTCATTGCGGCTGTAACCACAGCTGGCTTAACCGGCTCCTGCGACTTGGTTCTTCGCTGTCCTCCAGGACACAGGGTTGAGCGCTAGATTCTTCATCAGTGATAGTTGCTACGTTTTCCAATTTCGTATTCCGTTGACGGTTAGTTCGGAGATCTTTTTGAGGTCAGATCTCACTGTGTCCATTCAGGTCTTGATTTCCCATCCCTCCGTTGAAACCATGCAGGGCAAAAAACTGCTAGTGTTTTAGGTACAGATTTTTCGGGAAGTCGTTGAAGGACATGTCCAAGTCAACGCAGCTAGCGCTGTTAAATGATAGTCTAACTTTCGCAACATTGCAATGGCTGCAACGGCTGCGGATCTCTGAGCTAGAAGCTTTTGGAGATAGCACCTTGCGGTAGAAAAGGCAGACGTTTATCGAATATTTTTAACGTCCTGAAAAGCAGGTCGAAACTTTCTGATTTCCGTTTCGTTGATCCATATGCACCACTGAAAGTCAAAATGCCTTGATAAAAGATGAAAGCCTGTGGTGTGGATCAGATCCTCGTATCCACCAGTAGTTAATTAAATACGACGAAAGGTACATGATAGAAATGCTTCACGCCCTGTTTCATCAAATATAAATCTCAAAATGTTTTCTGTAGAATGAAAGCTTAAAACAGCTGTACCTATTTTAAGCGGGACTGGCAACCAAGTGGTGCAGCTGTTGTGGTACTGTCAACTCCCGAGAAATCCTTCTCCCGGATTATCCTGGAAGGGTCGAAGAAGACAGTTTGTTCAAGAACTCCGGTCAAATCTGATGGCCTTCTCGAGGGATATTCCTATCCTGACCAAATTTACAGTCTTTTTAGGATCACTGAGCAGTGCCGACGAATCCGTTTGCTTTGACTTGCAATTTTCCTTCCGTTTCCTTGCCATTGTCCATTTGATTCAGTGCATCGTCTGACGACGTGAAAAGTTTTGAAATGCTCTGGGATTCATCAGTACATCATTGTCATTTTGGGAAAGATGTGTATAGGAACCATGTCTGCCGTCAGAGTCGAAGGAGAGCTGTTTTAGTGGTTAACTGTGAAGTAGTTAGTACGAATGTTCTTGTTCGCTTTTGCTATTCAGCATTTTTTTTGACTTTCACCTCTGAGCAGTGCTGACCCTGGCGAAGTTTTTATTTTACAGAGAACTTACAGTTCATAATGACCGGTTAGATATTTCCTGACCTGTAGTTTGTGTTTGAGAGTAGTCTGAGGAGCGAGCTTTGTCGTGTAATGGCTTTCGTATGCAGCGCGACTGCGAATGACCCCCTTTACCTTAATGCTCCGAAATCTACGGTTTGTATCGAATCCATCCTACACAATTGATCTGTTAGTTGAACACGAAGGGGAAACAGTATAGAAAACAGAACAGTTTGAGTATCTCGGCTGTATCATCTCAAGTGATGACACCAACAGGTCAGTTAAATAGGACGGTAGCCTTCTCCTGCAGTGCTTGTGTATAACTGTTTAATATTTGGACTGAGAATGGAATGATCCTTTCCACAAAAATTTGTCTCTTCATTACCTCTATCAGGTTAATATCGTGGTACGACAGTACTGAAGAACGCTGAACTGCATGCAACAGCGTTGAATTCGTCACATAATGATGTTTCATGGCAGGTCTACGTAAGAAACAACTTTCTCCTATTCCGGGCATTGGTGTCCTCCGTAGATGTGAAGATTATGAAGAGAGGTTGGTCCGGTTAAAATGCTGGTTAAGCATAAACCGTTTACTTAAGCCAGCGAGCTTCTCGCATGGAAGCCGAAACATGGCAGGTGTCGACCAAGATTCAGCGTGCAACGTGGATTAACAGGACAGAGAGACATTCTTTCGGAGAGGAAATTTTCCTTCAGTTATGCAGTAGTTTCTGAGCCCTTAACAATTGCTGAACAACGACGAAACTTATTAACGAATGACTTAGCAGAGGTATCCGTATTCTCCTTGAACAGGATTGCTTGGTAAAACTGCTCGATTCCTACTTTTTGGATTTTGTCAGTTCAGCTCGAAAGACCACAACGCGACCACTTATATCAGTAATATCGACGTCATCACAACAGATAAAGAAATTGCATTTCTTTGCCTGTCGGTTAGACTGATTCGCTGATTCGGCGTAATTTTTTAATATACGAAATATCTTTAATTGTAGATCATAATATGGCAGCTCGACTGCTTCTCCAGCGTAGCAGTTCCATTTTTAGATTTTGCAATGAAAGTTGATTCAAAGGATAACTGCTTCCAATATGTGTAATGCAATTGCATTTGTTCTGTGCCGTATCTGCATCGAATCATTTTAATTTAGAAGATTGCCCAAGCGAAACACTTGTGGCCGGCGAACCTAGTACGTCGCCAGATATCTACAAGTCGAATTCAAGTGGCGATATGGACCACGTAGATTTAAAAGGGAAAGGTAACTTTAAACCGGTCCCTGTACCACGGTAACCTTCACTGCTGCAATCCTGTGATACCTTTCAAACATCTTAATGTAGGGTTTAAACTTGAAGCTCACCAAAGAAATGTCCCGATAATTGGAGCACTCGCCATGGTCTCCCTTCTTGTACAGGGGTGTTACAGCCCTCCTACTCCAGTCCATTGGTGTCTTTTTCATGGCCATTGCAGTGTGCTAGGTATGTGTAAGCCAGCACATGCTATGTTCGCCTATTGCTTTGAGCATTTCAAGGCGGATTACATCAACTCCTTCAGTATTTCCACTTTTCCAGCGTTTCACACCTATGATTTCATATGCTGAAATCGTAATAGCCGTTCCTTGCTGCTCTGCAAGTGAGTCTTCCTGCAGTTGCTCTCCTTTAAGGAGATCCTCAAAGTACTATCTTCGGAAAGATGGTGTCCAGACCCGTCCTTCAAGACTCTTAGACTGCCCTTCTTTTTACTTCGATGATGGTGGATGATGTGCCAGAATACCTTGTTTTCCGTCTGGAAATTCAACTTCAACACCTATCGAAATGCACCAAGAAATCAGTTTCGGGTTTTGCCACTGTTTTCGTTGCCGCCTTGCGTGCCTCTGCATACTGTATGCGCATTGAAGGCTCTTTGCTTCCAGACCATTGCTATAATAAAGCTTTCCGCTCTTCAACTACCAGTTGTACCTCTCATATCCGCAGAGATATATGCGTTTTTTTCTGACCTCCAGACGGCAGGCCATCACACTTGAATCCGCAACATTCTGCTGCAACCCAACCGAGTACGCCGTTTGTAAAGAGCTCCCACTTGGTTCCCACTTCAGCGGTCATCAGTGTGATCTGTTTAAACCGCGGTGCAGTGTTGTTTGCAAGTTTTGCCTTCATGTCCATATCGTTTTGCCCTCAGTTTCCCACTTGATTCTCTGATTGCTTCTGCCGCCAGATCTACTTATGGCATCGACCGTTTACAGCGGAGAGTGTCAGCAACAACGTGGTGACCATTTGACAGCACCGCGCCTTTCTCAACGTGAATTTCGATTACATAGCGTCGTAAGTTACACAGTTCCGTAATCAAATTAACCGTTGACCTCGGTGCACTAGTTTCCCTTATGCAAGTTTCGAATAAGGTGCTCATAACAGTCAGTCCGTTGTCTGTACAAAATCGTAACAACTTAGTTACTTTATTGTTAAAATTGCTGTAATCGTTCTTTCCAATCACACTTTCCTCTTCTTAGTGCCTGCTCTGACATTCGTACTGAAGTGACTTATCAGAATGATTGATTTCATAGCCGGCACATGCTTCATCCTGCAAGGATGCGTATTCTCCCTCCGAGTTAGGCGCATAAATTTGTAACAGGGTTAGTGCATTCGCTGCATTGGTTGCAGCTAAGTTGCAACCTAAATCGGAGCGTTGCCGGTGTTCCGCTTGCAGGCTTCCATTCAGTGACTCTGTCGGCTAGGTATGGTTGTACCTGAATAGCAACACCGTTCTGAGAGCGGGTCGTAGATTCAGTACATGAGTAGGGTAACTTCCCTCAGACATTAAGAATTTTAGAGCCCTCGCTTTACGTTGACGGAAGCCCATTTGTGCAACTGTTCAATATATCCATTTGCTACGTTGCGACTTCATTAGCTAGCTCCCGGTTTTTGTCTTGATTGATGAAATGTTAAAATTTTTTATTTTGAGCCCCCATTGTCGGCGTTGTTCCC